CAATAACAGCATTAAAAGATAACAGAACTTTTATTATATCCCCATACTTTGATGACAGAGAAAGCAAAGTCACTCGTGTGATTGGGATTGTTCATCATGAAGATGTAAAACAACTATACTGCTGGTTCTGCTGTCCACCCGATGGAAAGATATATGTATCAAAAGCAAAAATTGATGTTCACTCAGATAGATTTGGATTTCCTTATGGTGCAGCAGATATAGTTTGTTTGGAACCCGAAAACTGTGATCCAACACATGTATCAATTCATCAGTCTCCACATGGAAATATTGACCAGCTGCCAAGGTTTGAAATTAAAAACCGCAAGGCTGAGACCTTTTCTGTTGACTTCACTGTATGCATCTCTGCCATGTTTGGAAATTACAACAACGTTTTGCAGTTTATACAGAGTATGGAAATGTACAAGATTCTTGGGGTACAGAAAGTGGTGATCTATAAGAACAACTGCAGCCATCTGATGGAGAAAGTCTTGAAGTTTTATGTGGAAGAAGGATCTGTAGAGATAATTCCCTGGCCAATAAACTCACACCTCAAGGTTTCTTCTAAATGGCACTTTTCTATGGATGCAAAAGACATTGGCTACTATGGACAAATCACAGCTCTAAATGACTGTATATACCGTAACATGCAGAGAAGCAAGTTTGTGGTTCTTAATGATGCTGATGAAATAATTCTTCCCCTTAAGCACCCAGACTGGAAATCAATGATGAGCAGTCTTCAGGAGCAAAACCCAGGGACTGGCATTTTCCTCTTTGAGAACCATATCTTCCCAGAAACCATATCTACTCACATGTTCAACATTTCATCCTGGAATACTGTGCCAGGTGTTAACATATTACAGCATGTTCACAGAGAGCCTGACAGGAAAGATGTAATCAATCCCAAGAAAATGATAGTTGATCCACGAAAGGTGATTCAGACTTCAGTCCACTCTGTCCTACGTGCTTATGGGAACAGTGTGAATGTTCCCATGGATGTTGCCCTCATTTATCACTGTCGGGTGCCCCTTCAAGGAAACCTTCCCAGAGAATCCCTCATCAGGGATACAACACTGTGGAGATATAACTCATCATTAGTCATGAATGTTAACAAGGTGCTATATCAAACCGTACTGTAAGCTCAAAAGTGAAACCTCGGTTATAAGGAGGGACAGTGGAGAGCTACCCATATCATGGAGAGGCAGAGAATATCATTTAAAGGTCACGTTAAAATCACTTCCATGGGAAGTTTACATCTTACAGAGATTTAGGAGAACAGCCCTTTTATGTACTGTGCAAAGGTAAATGCATTTCATTTGTGAACTGA